TTCCAGGCCATGCAGAGGGACCTGATCGTCAAGAACCATGGCATCCGTCTTTTGGAGGCCCAGATCGCCACAGGTGGTGTAATTGACCCTGTCCACAGCCACCGTGTGCCCGTGGACGTGGCCTACCAACGTGGCTACTTTGATGAGGAGATGAACAGCATCTTGGCAGACCCCGGTGATGACACCAAGGGCTTCTTTGACCCCAACACACATGAGAACCTCACCTACCTGCAGCTGTTGCAGAGAGCAACTCTTGACCCTGAAACTGGATTATTGTTTCTCTCTGTCTCTAAAGACTGAGTTTTATGTTATTTGCTGAGATTTTATGGAACATGCCTTAGCATTCTCACAGTGTTTGACTCTCATAGTTATAATATCTTTATACTTTCATGTCTGTTTTAAATCAGAGTTTGACTTTTAGGTTATTTTTTTTCTTCCTTCTCTCCATGCTTTCCTTTATTTTTAATTTTTTTGTGCTATGTATGTTCCCATTTTTTTTCCTATATAAATGTTTCATGTCATTTCTTATGACTGTTTTCTGTTGTTTTTTTAATAGGAGCATGGGCTTGGAGGAAGAGGTCTCTTCATTCAGGCTCTCATTTTATTCCAGAAAACACCATAATCACTCACTGTGATCACTCTGTAGTCCACACTGGTCTCAAGGCTGCTGGTAATCTTTTTTTTTTTTTTTTTTTTCCGTGTTCTCCCAAGCACTGAGATTGTTTGTGAAAGACAGTATCTTGGCAAAGAAAGATCTTCAACATTCGGGCTGGACAGATGTCTTAGCAGGGAAGAGAAATGGCTGCTCTTCTACATGACCTGGGTTCAGTTCCCTCACGGTAGCTCACAACTGTTTGTAGCTCCAGTTCCAGGGGATATGGCATCTTCACAGACTTACGTGCAGGCACAATGCAAACATAAAATAAAAATAAATAAATCTTAAATCTTCAGCGTCTTCAATGTATGGGCACTTTGCACATCATGGGTCTTGATTTGCCGTCTGTGTTTAGTATAACCTTGCTCATCCTCTCCCCTCGTACCACTGAGACCTCTCAGCTTTTCCTTGTAATTCTTTTATAGTGCATACATGGCTTTTGATAATCAATGAAAGTTCTGTTTTGGTAGGGACTCATTCACACTGCCGTCACCTGTGTTACTTGCCCCCCAATGGCGTGCTGAACACCGACCGTCAGCTTCCTGGGATCTGTGTAGAGTTCAATCTTGTGCATGCCCCCAAGTAAGGACTATAGCTAAGCAACCGCCCTGGCAGGTAATTTGCCAGAATTTGTTTATATACGACCAACCTTCCTGTTATCTTGGATGACCTGAGGCCTTTCTTTTGTTTTACGGGGGGAAAAATGGTTTATTTTGACTTAACATTTGGAAGACTCAAGGGCATGGCTTTCCTGCTGGCAGAGTCCCAAAGTAGTATAGGATACCCCAAGAAAGCTACACGGACAAAACGACAGGAGCTAAGGTGCTATTTCAGAGGTTAAGAGCATTTGACTGTTCTTTCAGAGGACCTGGATTTGGTTCAACACATGATGACTCACAACCGTTCATGACTCCAGTTCAAATGGGTTCAACCCCCCTCTTCTGGACTCCAAGGGCACCAGACACACAGGTGGCACACAGACATACATGTAAGCAAAACACTGTTAGAAATGAAATATGAAATAAATCTGAAAAAAATAACCAAAGCTCTTATTTTTAATTATTTTATTTATTGATTATCATTTTCAAATTTCATATGTTTTTGTTTTGTTTTTTGAGACAGGGTTTCTCTGTGTAGCCCTGGCTGTCCTGGAATTAGCTCTGTAGACCAGGCTGGCCTCGAACTCACAGAGATCCGCCTACTTCTGCCTCCCTGAGTGCTGGGATTAAAGGTGTGAGCCACCACCACCTGGCTAAATTTTATATCTTTATTTGCTTTTATTGTATAAATATTTTACCTTGCACGCATGTCTATTTGCCACATGTGTGTTTTGTTCCTGTGGAGATCAGAAGAGGGTATCAGATCACCTGGAACAGGAGTTGCAGGTGCCTATGTGCCATGGTGTGTGTGCTGGAAATCAAACTTGGGTCCGCCGATCTCTTAGCTGTTGAGCCATCTCTCCAGCCTCCACAAAGCTCTTGCTTTCCCCTCAGATGATCGAATCTTCACTCACAAAATCTTAATCCTTAATGAAGAGATTAAGCAAGGGAGCCAAACAGTCTGAAACTTAGCCAAATAAACAGGGTTGATGTTAACCCATGCTCCTAGGAGGGTGGCTATGGAGGTCAGAGCCGTGCCTGGGTCCCTTCATTCACTCAGTAGTGGGGTGCCTGCAGTGGCCTTGGCTGCCTCCTGTCCCTTAGAAGAACCTGCCCAGGCTACCTGCAATGTCTCTGTGCATGGTTTTCTCTGAGCTGGTTCTATTTGGGATGTGCTGAACTTCCTTGTGCCAGGAATTTATATCTTTCACGAAAATCTGGGACGCGTTCTGCGTTATTGTTTCAAACTGCTTTACTATCGGCCTGCCTTCCTTCCCTCCTTTCAGAACTTCAAATGCAATGATCTTGGCTCTTGTTTGTCTCTTTGAAGTTCTTCTCCACATCCCATATTTGAGGTTTCTTTTCCCTGTGTGTGATCTATAAATGGCATAAATTTATATAATCCTATAAATATAATAGCTTGTCTGGATGACTGGCTGGTTGTGTGTGGTGGCACTGAGCACCAAGCCTACCATGCTGTTTTAGACTTTCTCCTGATACTTCTAACCCATGGGCCGTCATCGCTGCCATTTGTCAATTGTCTTCTCTCTCCAGACTCACTCATTCTAGCAGTTAGAATGTGGAGCCCTTTTCTTGTTGTTTATCTTGTACACTTTCACGACCTGCTGGATCCTGTTAAAGCCTCTTGAGAATGCTTTCAGTGAAGCTGGCCCTCATTCTGGTTAGGTTTGGTCCATGGGTGATGTCCACCTACAGAGGGGTGGCTCCTTAGTCCCCATTCTCTTTTGAAGCGTTTGCTGTACCGTGGGGACACTTCCTCCATGGGGTGTCTGGAAGTGAGTCTGAGCCTTGGGGGAGCAGTGTGAAGTGTAGAGGGCCTCTCCTCTAGCTCTGGCTAGAGTTCTTGGATTTCCCTCCACACACTTACTCTGAGACCCAGAGGTGTGCTTATGATCCCCCCATTTAGATACCAGGACCTTTCCCCACCTTTTAATTGCTCCCAGGAAATTCCATATAACCATGCTCAGGGCAAGGCAGTCAGAGAGAAGAAGAGAGAGGGAGCTTCCCATCCTGCTATGGCCTACCAGGACCCTGTGCCTAAACTGTCTAGAAAGCTTCTGGAGGCTTGTAGGTCCTTCGAATGACACCCATTCTGATACCCCAAGGTTCGGGAAAACAAAGAAAACGGGATTCCTGTTACACTCTAGATACAGGGGCTCTCAGCTTTCCTAATGCTGTGACCCTTTCACACAGTTCCTCATGTTGGGTGACCTTCAAGCATAAACTTATTTTCACTGCTACTTCGTAACTGTAATTTTTCTACTGTTATGAATCGTAATGTAAAAATCTGATGTTCAGGTTATCTGATATGTGACCCTCAAAGGGGTTGAGACCCACAGGTCAGGAAACACTTGGTTAGAATGTGCAGAGGATCGTCAAGCACGTCAGTGCATGCCTGTAATCCCAGCACTTGGGGAGGCAGAGGCAGGTGGCTCTCTGCGAGTTTGAGGCCAGCCTGGTCCACAAATAGAGTCTAGGGCAGCCAAGGCTTTACAGAGAAATGTTGTCTGGAAAAACAAACAAACAAAAAATAACTTGCAGAGGAGTGAGTGAGTTTCTTTCAGGACTTTGATTTACCCACTGCAGTCTGACCAAGGCCACAGACACAGCAGAGGAGTAACAGAGCAGCCTCCTCGCCACCTTCCCGATTGTTCTTTGCTCTGATCTTCCCATCTCGCTACCACGATGGGCGTCCCGGTGCCCTCAGAAGGAGCTGCTCATGTTCTATCCGCAGACGTTATCTGTGGGACACCTGGGCTGAGGCCCCTCCCTCTATCTTGGCTCAGGGATTACTGTTGTGACTTGAAAAGTAATGGCATGCCAGGTTCCAGTGACTGGCTGGAAACTTGCAAGCACCAACTACAAGCTTCAGCCTCCCCCCGGGCAGCAAGCTCATGTCTTCCGCTGAAAGGATGTCCCTGGCTGTATACCGTTGTAAGAAATTCAGGATCCTAAGACACAGTCAAGGTTTGGACAAGGCTGACAAGCAGGCATGAAGAGTTCTGGGATAGTCAGTGGCCAGCATCCCCTGTGTCTGAAAAGGAGGAGGGCCAGTGGGGTCAGAATGCAAGAGGGGCAGCTGCCCATCCATGTGACTGTTAGTCTCTGCATTTACCACTTACCAAAGCAAGTCCTTATAATTCTGAGGTCCCTGGACAAAATGCCTCTTAGACAGCTGCACTCACAAACTGACCATGGCTTCCTTTCTGCTTTCAACTCCCAGTACCACCTTTGACCATCTAACTACTCTCTGGCCAGTGACTGATTTCTCGACATTCTAGCTTCCTTTTTTTTATTCAAAGGGACGTAATAACAGCACCTGGCTCAGAGTTGGTCATGTGTATAAGTCAAATGTATGCTGGAAGTGATCCAAAAAGGTCTGCAGTGATGGTTCCATGGAACACCTTTTAACATGCTTGTAGTTTTTCTCTTATCTAAATAGAAGACCCCTCCCCCACAAATCAGGCCAAGGCATGCTTCTTTCTAAAAGGAAATTAGGGTTGCTATAGAAACAAGCTAAAGGCACAAATTAGTTAATAGCTTGTGTTCAAAACTGACTTTATACTGGGCATACACGCCTGTGCCTATAATCTTGGCACTCAGAGGTTGAGGCAGAGAGAGCATTGAGTTTGAGGACAACTTGGCCTTGAACAAGCCTCAAAACAAAACAAAACATACACACACACACACACACACACACACACACACACACACACACACACGGAGAAGGGGGGAACAACTTTACAGAAGGCTAAAGGCTGAGTGCCAGATATTAACTTGGTTCTGGCTGCTTTATTCCCTACAGGTCAGACACGACTTCTTGACCAGCTGCCAACATGCTGTTTGTTCCTTTTTCCTGGTGACATGAAGGACAGATTGAGGCAGTCCAGTACCTGGCCTCTTTCTCTCGTTCAGTTTGCCTAGTCTTCCCTTACCACTCCAGGCCCAGGAGGAGTTGTTTGACAAACCCAACAGGGCAGGGAGAAACCACCCAGAGCAGAGCAGAGCTGTGGCAACACGGGGGAAAGAGGAGTATGTTATCTGGCTGTGTGAGCCCTCCAGGTTCTGCTGTGTAAAGCCTGAGTAGAAGCTGACTCATCTGATGCAGGGCCCAGAGTGGGGACAGATGGCTTCTCAGCAAAACACGTGGGTGACCTCCCTCCCACACCAGGGCTGAGACACTGGAGGGTCAGGAAGTATCTCTATTCCTGTGTAGCCCAGGGACCCCCTACAAGTCACATTTGCAGCTCTTCGTTTTAGTTTTTTGTGAAAGTAACTTTTATTTGCCTGGTTGAGTTGTTGTCTCAGAGGCTTACTGCCTGTGTCTGCCAAAACCAAGGCCTGGTCCTGGAAGCAATGTAACCTAGGCCTAGAATGTTTTCAGCCTCTGAGACTTCCTGACGAATAAGCTCACCCTTACTTGTTCTTGCTGAGCTCTAAGGTAGCTGGTTCAACTTAGCTGTTCTAGCTAAAACTCCTCTCCCAACTGACTGATTCAGTCTGGCTTCTCAGTCCCATAAGTGCTTTGCTTGGCTTCAAACTAACTCCAGCAATCTTTTCTAATCTTCTGGCTCCTTCTCATTCCCTGCCTCGTTTGGTCTTCACCTGAGTTCTCTCTCTGCAACCTATTTTTACTGTCCTGGTAAAACTGCCCTTTCCTCTCATTCTC